AAAAAAAAAAAAAAAAAAAAAAACTGAGATGGTATCACCTACCTCGTGAATGAAATGAATGAGTGAATGAGATGGTTTTGAGGACTAGGAAAAAAAATACAGAAAGATTATCTAACACAGTGCCCCCTACAGGTGAGCGTTCACAGAAACAGTAGGTAAACTGATGGTGAAGGTGATAGATAAAATTATGCCACAGGGCCCTTCTACTTTGCCTGGAAGCTTGTCTCCCATGAACCTGGTGACCTGAATTCTGTTTCCCACCCGAATTCAGGTTACACGACAGATCCATGAGCATGAGCAGGAGAACGAGTTGCGGGAACAGATGTCAGGTTATAAGCGGATGCGGCGCCAGCACCAGAAGCAGCTGATCGCCCTGGAGAACAAGCTGAAGGCTGAGATGGACGAGCACCGCCTCAAGCTACAGAAGGAGGTGGAGACGCATGCCAACAACTCGTCCATCGAGCTGGAGAAGCTGGCCAAGAAGCAAGTAGCTATCATAGAAAAGGAGGTCAGTGTGTGCACACACACCTTTATGCCACAACCAAGCCAGGCCTGTTGGGGTCAGTGGCAGGATGTTAGCAGGAGGCAGGAGTTGGAGATGGAGGAAAACTGTTGCTGGTGATGGGGGAGAAGGAATTGGGTTTCCAGATTTTATGGGGCTACATAAAATTGTCATTCAGAGCTAAAATAGCAACTGAAAATGTATATTACATTCATGTCCATTCAAATATATTCTGAGTATCAGTGCCTTGACGGTGGCCTGGGTACAAGTAAAGGGAAACAGGATGCTGCTATCTTCTGAGAACGAGCACAACACAAGTCTGTTTACTGTATCTGCCACACCCACAGTCCTTTTCAAAAGAAAACTGCTCTGTAGATAGTCTCTTATAGTGGTGATAATCCCTGCCTACAGCTGATGGGCCCCCGACCAAAGGGAGCAAATAATGAGTCCAGCAATTGTTTGAGTTTTCTAGGGAACATCTCTCTTCTCCATCCAGGTTCTAAACTAATTTTAAAAGCAGACAAGGCTAGGCATGGTGGCTTACACCCTATAATCCCAGCACTTTGGGAGGCCAAGGTAGGTGGATCTCTTAAGCCCAGAAGTTCAAGACCAGCCTGGGCAATGCGGCAAAACCCCACCCATCTCTACAAAAAATACAAAAATTAGGTGGGTATGGGGTCATGTGCCTGTAGTCCCAGCTACTTGGGAGGCTGAGGCAGGAGGATTGCTTGAGCCCAGGAGACAGAGGTTGCAATGAGCCGAGATTGTGCTACTGCACTGTAGCCTGGGTGACAGAGCAAGACCCTGTCTCAAAAAAAAAAAGAGGCAGATAGTCATAATATCATCTTCATTACTGATACATGTTAGGTACGAGAGATGATTTTTGTCTGCAGGAAAACAAAATTAAGCAGACTTGCCTGCCCAGGCAATGGTAAAAGTGAGTCACCTTTCCTGTCACCCCTGCCACACTATAAGACTTCCATAGTGTGGAAAAAATATGGTGGATATGTGCTCCCTGGGGATGAAGTGATTGGGGACATGGTGTCAGGGTGTTTCCATAACGGAGTTCATGTTCTCTCTCTCCACCCCCCACCCCCTGCGCCACACGTGTGTGTGTGTGTCCACATGAAAGGAACCATCAGGTTGTAGAAGAAACATTTCCCCAACAGCTGTCAATCTGTGAGGCAGTCTGGCATGAAAACCTCTGCCCAGACAGGGATGATGTTGATTAAAGAAATCAGTCAGATTCTTTCTTGGGATTTGACTTGGTAAATATGTTGTGAGAATTGTTCATAATGGAAGAATTGTCCATAATGGAAGTTGCAGGTGAAAAAGATACATAAAAATGAGCCATGAAGCATAATTCCCACTTTATCTTGTAAGTTACTCATCTTGCATATATACTTCACCCAATGGTTACCAGAAACAGATTTGGTCATTTTCAGGAGCCAGTATTTATTGGATTACCTTTTATGTAGTCTGTGTTTGATTCATTTAGGACCCTAAAAAGTGTCATGATGTGTGACTGTTGTGGATTGCAGCAGGTGCCTAAGAAAACAAAATGCCAGGCCTGGCATAGCGGCTCACGCCTGTAATCCCAGTACTTTGGGAGGCCTAGGTGGGTGGATCACCTGAGGTCAGGAGTTTGAGATCATCCTTGCCAACATGGTGAAACCCTGTCTCTACTAAAAATACAAAAATTAGCCGGGCGCATTGGCAGATGCCTGTAATCCCAGCTACTCGGGAGACTGAGGCATGAGAATCACTTGACCTCGGGAAGTGGAGGTTGCAGTGAGCCAAGATCGTACCACAGCACGCCAACCTATGTGAGAAAGCGACACTGTCTCAAAAAAAAGAGAGAAAAAGAAAACAAAATGCCATTAGCTCTCCAATTACACTTGAGATGATCCCACTGGAAAATCTGATAGTTGGGGTAATTAATCAGTTAGAGTTTGATTCTTGGAATAAAACTGGCCAGTGTAGTTATTTATACATTTTGGCAACTTAACCTTTGGGCTACCAACAATATGTTTTAAAAACCTTTATTGCCGGGCGCAGTGGCTCAAGCCTGTAATCCCAGCACTTTGGGAGGCCGAGGTGGGTGGATCACGAGGTCAAG